CAGGAATGTCAACATCTAAAGGTCCTTCCCCCCAACTCCTGCAGTTTATCAACACTATCACAGAGTCACATATTTGCTGCAAGCTACCACCTCCTTTCCAATTAAACCAACAACTGAAGTAGGAACCCAACAGAAAAGGTTTCTTTTGTTGCCCAAATCTGGGTCTCCTCAGAAATCTATTCCCACTGTGAAATAAGGTCCTAGTGGAATAAACAGACTGGAAGCATCACACCCCAGGGCTCAGTCAGTCACAGGTGACGAGCAAATCAGCACTTCCCAAGTTGAGTGCTTGATACAGTTTCTATTTTCTTCTGTATGGAAGGAAGCAAATTTGGTAACAACTATCTCCTTTGATAGAAACACCAGCTCACATGCTCCTTGCTTTAAGCTGAAAATTTTCTATTAGTATCCAATACTGAAGTATAAATACCTTTCTTACTGTAGAATAATTTGGAAATTAAGCCAGATGTGTAACAGATAAGGAAGTATCAATGGTGCACAAGTCATGCATGTTCTAAAATACATTTGTTTAAATCGCCACTTCACTAAACAGCTTTTTATCATGGCAAAGATATAAACATATATATTCATTCTCATATATATGTGTGTGTGTGTAAAACCAGTTAAAATCTGTCCCAAATCTACACAGCATTGCCAAGAAAGCTGCTGAGAACAATCTCTGAATTATTAATGTCGAACAATTTTATGTACACTGTACAAATACCATTTTCAATCAAGTCATGCAGCCAGGAGTTCTGTAAATACACAACTCTTTCTAACAGAGTTCACAGCTCCCATGAGAGAATTATTAGATTGATCATACTTGAGCTAGTCTGCTCTCAAACAAGCATGCATTTCCCCACTAGAGCGTACTGCAACACCAAACCCAGTGCCTGCAGGCTAAACTCCAACCCTGATGAACATGCCTACCAAAAACTGTACTTGATACAGGAAAGCACCAGGTGGCAAAATAAATGCAAACAGCTTCCAGATCAATAAATCTCAACTGAGATTTCCATATGGTCAACACGTCAGAACAGGCACCTTATGGAACACCACGGCAACGTGAGAGAAATGCGATTGCTTTAATTTAGGAATGCTCCACAGCTAGGAAGGACGGTCAAGTTGTCAGCCTGAAGAAGCACAAAGGGAAACCTCAGCACTGAGAGCATCAGCAATAATCCCTGTGAGTCAATGAGTTCTTTGAACAGCTGGGTAGAATCACAAGGGGAATACATGAGGAGCATTAGGCGGCTATTTTTGACTCACATCATTAGCTCCATCTGCATTATTTTATACAGACTCATTTACTGAACAACCTTCAACTAACACACACGTTCTCAGCATTTCACACACTGCCTGTAATTTTCCATACGAAACTCGAATTCAAATCTCTGAACTTAGAAAACATTAGAGATCTTTTCTTGGTTGATGGGTCATGAAAATCATTACTTTTCAGCAACGAAGAAGAGCACTCTTTCTCCAGTCTTATCCCTTTTTGGACATCATCAGCTCATCATCCAAGCTCATCATCAAGAATTCCAAGGCATAACTGCTTTGGGTTTGTTTCTCACTGCCCTGCTGTGAACATCACCAGCACAGGCTCCACAGGTTTGCCCTCTTTGGAGGCGATTTCAGGCTGCCAGGTCAGACTGAGAAAGAAGCAGTACCATCTCACTAATTCTGGAGAGAATTCAGCAATCTGCATTGTTCTTTATTTCCTTCTTAAATGTGGTAGGAAATTAAATATTTAAAGTAGTGAAATGTTTAATTAAATATTTAAATATAAACTTAGGACTTTTCAGACTATGACAGAGTACAACATTTTACTAGTACTTATAGGCAAGGTTGACATTCACACACAAGCAGCAACGTGGACTCAATAATATTCAAATATAAGCTGCCTTTGATGCAAGGGCTGCCACTCAGCGTCTCTCTAGCACAATTCCCTGGAGTGAATAGAGAAGTTCTCTCCCACTTTAACTGGAAACAGCCACCATAAAGCACTATTTCTTTAAAAGGGAGCCAAAAACAATGGAGATGGTGAAGTTACTTCACTTACATAATTTTCAGTCATTGAGCTACTGTCGTATAGCTACACATATTGAAGAGTAAGAAAAGTAGGAAGCATCAAAAAGGTCTGTAAAAGAAATGGTGTTTACCACAGACCAAGAGAATGAAATCACTTGAAACATTTTAGAACACAGGTATAAATTCAACAAATGGTGTGGCAGCCAGCTGAAAGCATCTGAATTGTAAGTATTTCTAAGAGCATACCTTTGAATCACAAGCAGAAATAGTAAATCTGCAACTCTGTCAAAAAAAGCATATCAAATAATTGATATAATTAAGTTAAACTGCATCTGCTACTTGCCTCTATCCTGAAGAGTATATAGCTACAATTAGGACAGCATCTGTAGTTTCAGATTTAAGTTGGTATTATTTTGGAGCTGAAGTAGATCACATGTTGGATCACTGGAGAAATTAGGGACCTTAAAACTAAATGCACCCCACACGGAAGAAAATGTAGCACCTTCCCTGAATTACTACCTCAGTATTTGTTATCTATCTTGACTAAATAGCCAGGACACAAAGCAGTTCTACCAAAATATTTATAGGCAATAAACATTTGTAGCAACAGTATAAAAGGTGCAAGTGAACTCACAGAATATTTATTAAGGAAAATTTTGTTGAAGAACTACAGTAAGTCTCAATCTGTATGCCTAAAGAGTTCTGCAAGCCACACTCTCCCAGGACTGCTACGCTTGTCTGAAGTCAGTTTTCTAATAGCTGGCTTTAATTAACAAACTACTTCAGTATGAATTTTGCCCTTCAAGTTTGATTTGTGGGGGTGGGAAGCAAAAATATCTTCTCCCTCTGTTCTCCTCAACATTTGTCCCAGGTTCATAATCCTTAAAAACTAATTCTGCTTTAACATACATAAAATGTTGCCGTCAGTTTATTCTTTCAGTTTTCCAGTTTAAATGTAAGTTCTATAATTTCAAGAGAAAAATTCCAAAGTCTGGAAAGACTCCAGCTACAAAAGAAGAAACTTCTGAGACCTCCTGCAGTCACTAGGTAATTTAAATACCAGGTTTCTGAAATGAAAATGTAATTTTGACAGCTGAAGTCTTTAGTAAATTCCATTTATGTATATACATTAAAAAATTAAGAAGTTGTTACACATGCTTATGCTCTGTCATCATTCAGCTGCTTAAAATAATCAAGTAAATAAACTTACACGCTTGTATCTTAAACGTTCCCTATTTTATTCTTTTCAGATGTTTGTAAAAGTCCCGAGATAATCAAAAGTTTCTCTTACCAACAAGCAGTCCAGCAGCTGTACTCTGCACTTGCTTTTGTTATCACAAGTCAGCAAGGCAGCTCTTAATAACTGAGACCCTATCTACAAGGGAAGTCCTGACAAATGAACTATTTTGTCTAAAATCTAAAAAAAAAGTCTCCAAGGGCTTTTCAAACTGTTATCAGAAGATTAACATATCAAAGAAAAACTGGCACTGCTTGGAATGCTTTTTTTTTCCCTCTTCCCTCCAGTGTGGCTGAACAATCGCAGGACCGTGGCCGGGCTGGCCGGAGGCTGCACTTCCAGGCATGGGCCACCCTGTCCAGCTCCTGCTATTCAAACCCCCAAACCTCCCCAGGAGCCTGTCCTGCAGACACTTCCAGGTCTGTGCACGAGTCC